TTCATTTAATAAAAAGTTCAAGGAGTAGGACATCGAAAGCAAATCTTAAGATAAATGAATAAATCATGTACAAAAGGCAGACCAGCTAATAAAATATGTATACGAAAAAGCTACACTAAAATAATGATTTGTAATTTGTCTTCTGTGTTTTTAGACTCGTCAATTTATGCTGCAGTTACAGTTATAAAATATTAACCTCATCTTAACCTAGATAAACTGTTTTTACATCTTAAAAGTAGTAGTCCTCCCACATGACTTTGAACACACCAGCAACAATATACTGACTGCCTATTTTAACCTTACGTAATTAGAAGCATTATGATTCAGAAATAAATTTTAACAGTCATCTTTGTTACTTTAATGACATACATTTCTTTTAAAGGCATACTTGCATCCTATACATTGCAAAATATAACTAAGGTTATTAAATATCTCCTCCTTATATCTTTCAAGAAAAATTCAGTTGCTAAATATTCAATCTCTGATAGATAATCAAAGTTATATTAAACATTTGCACTCTATAAAAACACAACCATAATCACTTACTATAGGGTGACATTGTGATACAAATATATTCCCAAGAACAATAAGAAATGCTTATATCAAATTGGGGGAAATCCCAAATTCAAACCAGGTAAACCAGAAAAAATGACAAACAATAGGTTCTAAGTATAGACTAGGAAATATTGAGACGTTGTCTTTATTATCCTATAAACAATCTTAGAATTAGTACATTTGTATTATATAGAACTTAGGAAATTCAAAGATGAATCTACAGCTGGGAATGTGTATTGCAGTTGTATGCAGTTTATTATGCATTTTGCAGACACTTCAAATCTGATTTTAATCCATTTTCCTACAAGTGATCTTCCTTTTCTTTAGATTTTCAGTATGCATATTTATAAACTGCCATAAACTGAATGAAACAAAGACCATGTCATTCAATAAACCAATCAGATAGGGAACATGTTTTTACTAGTACCAAACCATTACTTTCTGTTTAGCACTGGGCATCCAAGTCATTGAAAGAGAATTAAATTTTTAAAAATCAAAAGACCAGGAATTTCTTCCCACTT